GACAAACTTTCTGCAACGCGTGGAAAAAACAAGCTGAGGTCGTGTTTATATATATATATATTATATATTCTATTTATAATCAAGACTTCCCGAGTCTACATTGATCTGGCCCAGATCTTTTGACTGTCCATGCGTGACATCAACCCAGGCGCCGGCATCGCCGTCTTTGGCATCGTCGCGCATCAGTCGACTCTCCTCCACTTCGGCGCCTGGAGGCATCCAACGAAATGGGCCCTGGAGAGGATTTCGTCCAAAAAGAACATGCAAATCACAGGCACCCAAGTGAACTGATGAGAGTGATGGAAAGGACGTACAGAAATTTAAGGAGCTTCTGACTTCTGAAGCTTCGTTGAGTTCAGACAGGCCGAAACAGGAACATGGCCTTCTGTAAGAACATAAGACAGAGAGCCAGTTCAAGCGAACTGTCCATCAAGCAAAGCACAAACTTGATGCTCTGTCCGGCTGATGGCCAAGTGATCATTGAACACTCGCTTCCACGGATCAGGAAGGTTGCGACTGCGACAATTGTCTTTGCAGTGAGGAGCGTCTGATCGAGGCACCTTGCGCAAATAGATGCCGCAGCTCAAAACAAAACTAACAAATATTTACGAATATGGAAGACCCCGGGCAAAAAGCACACCCGACGAGCAGCCCAGGGCCGCTCAAACAACACCTTCGCCTTGCGGGCCGCGTCGGTTGGGGGTAGACGACTGGCAGAGTGGGTAGACGACTGGCAGAATTGTCCGGTGAAGGCAGGACTTCAGTAAGCGGTAGTTCACCTGATTCAACAGACTTGGCGTGGTGACCGGGCTGTCGGGACAAGTGGCCTACACGGAAGTGAGACAAGTGACCACTGAGACTCCGGAGTTCATCTCCGATTTCAGAGCTGTCGGACAGCCAGAGAGTAGGGTTTTGGAGGGAATTTGGCCCACAAGTAGGGACACTATATACCTGATTTTGGAGCTAGAAACCACAGCTCCAGTTGCACCACCAGCAACATGAGGAGGCCTTGGAGGCCTTGCCAGAGGCCTTGGCCAGACATGAACGGTCTCTGGAGGGCCGAGGCCAGGGATGTGGCAACCGCCTTGACGCGGCCAAACATGGTTTTTCCAATTCGTTTTAAGGACGGGCTTTTAGACGAACTTCATGTGGATTCATTTCTGAAGAGGTCTTGATTTCTTAGGATGAACATCTTTTCGGGGATTTTTAGAGAAAGCATGATCAGCTTCCTTCTGAGTGTTTAGATTCAATACATGTGTTTATATTATAAAGTCTGGAAACCTGGCGCCTCACAATCATGCTCCCTAGGCCGAATGGTTCCAGCATACAGATTGGTGAGTATAGACGAGCAAGAAAACGAGAACGTGATGATGATATGCTCATTTATTCCTGGAAGGCCGCTTGTTTGTTCCAGTGTGCACTGTGCACCCCATTTTATCTCCTCAGAATGATAACAAAGCGACAACAAAAACGATAGCATTTTTGCAGCGAAAGTTGCTAAACAGTGAGTTTGAGTTTTGTAAATGCAGTGAATTTGCAGGTTGACCGTCATATTCCCACAGTGTAGAATCGGAGATGACACACATTGCACAAATCCCTGCAAACAATTATATCAAAAAGCACCTTCTTGGATGCAGCAATTTCCACATTGTTGTACATGTGCATAAATACTATACACTGCATGTGATATTTAAAATTAATATATAGATATTTTTAGTATAAATGCGCCGCTGTAAAGGTGGACGAAGAAGATTAATGCCCCACTACGCGGCAGCATGCCACATTGTGAGGTAGCAGTGCCGGGGTGGAGTCTCACAGAGATCATTCGTGTCCTGATTCGACCCCACCCAGTTGTAATACCAAGATCTGCTGATCGGTGGGATCGCATGTGGGCGGCCCTGTATCAACTCACTATCGACTGCGAAGATCACCTATGGGAGAAGCGAAGATATCGTTCGACCCAAAAGAGTCATTGTTCGACCCAAACCCCTGAACAAGAGAAGCCATTGTGGTGCCCGACAGGTTCTTTTCGAAAAAACAAAAAGAAAAGAAACACATTCACGACTTGGTGCGACCTTTCCCTATAGGGCTCCTGGCCCATATCCCTGGCACCCACCCCCAAGCACCGAACCGAAACGGAGGTGGTTGTAACAACGCCCTCACGGGTTTTAGTCGGATGTCCCATGGCACCGTGGCCCCGTCACAGCGCTCCGGCCACCGCGGGTTTGAAAGCCGGCGAAGGCTTGGTCCTCTTCGGCCGCTCCATTGGGTCCTTGTGCGCGCTGCATTTGGCCTTCTTGGGCTTGGGCCAGGAGCGGAGGGGTTTTGTGTCGACATGAGCGGAACCGTTGGTAGTTTACAGTGCTCCTTGCCTAAGGACATGCGGCTACAAGAGGCATACGGCATAGTGTCCCATGTATTTGAATTAGAGCCTGCAAGAACTAATTTGAGTGTTTTGTGAACAGTACTCTTGTAGAAAGGCTGTTGGCTTGCTTCATCGGAGAAAAGGGATCAATGCACTGAAGGTGAAGCTTCTTAGAAGAATGCAAACATGGGTCAAACAAGATAGAAGATGTTGATCCAATTGGTCTGGCACCATGCAGCTTTGACACTCTACCTTGGACTCAGATCCATTCTGTGGCCCCTTTGCGTTCGGTTTCCGCTCTCGTAGTATTGAGCGGGGGCCCTGTTTTCAGACCTCTCTCATCATGGAGCGAGCTCTTGGCTTTGTCCAAAGAATGGATTGCCAGAAACGGCATTCCCTCGGATGCTAGGAGGTCCCTACAGGCCCTACAGGTCTCTATTTGGCTACTAGGAGCAAGGACGCTACTAGTAGCTCCTGGCAATACTACTAGGAACAAGAAGCTACTAGTAACAAGGGCATTGCTACTAGGAACATCTAGGAACAAAAAGGAGACAGACCGGTTGACCTAGAACCCTTAGGAGGTCCCTACAGGTCTCTTTTTGGCTGTGGGTCATGGCACTAGAAGACGGACCGGTTGAGCTACCTGTGGTCATTCGCCCCATATGGTCTCTGTCGCTGTTGGCTATTGGTAATCTAATCCCTACTACTGTAGTCACTGTGTGGTCCTCATATATTATTTTTTTATCAGTTCCTAGTAGTGATCGCACCTAATTTCTGATGCTGGATCGGTGCTTCGTTCACCCAGGAAAAGATCAAGACCTCCCAGAGCATCATTGATCGAAAGCGGCTTCATCTCTTCACTATTGCATAGCCCCGAACATCCCCAAACCGTTATACATTATGACACCGCGAGCTGTTTGAACCAAAGAGCCTCTTTTAAGCTGACACTCGCCAGCTCCAATTAAAACTACACCGAAAGGATCTCGTGTCTTTCCACCATCCGCCATCCTTCGCACCCTTCTCTCAACCGGTAAACTCCGCGGCGGAAAAAACGCATCTGCTGCGTCTCCGCTGCGGCTCCCAGCGGCGCAGGCCTTGATCTTGGACTCACCGGTGACCTGCCAGTGGCCTCTGGAGGCGCTTTTTCTGCGGACTCGTCCGGTGGTGGAGTCATTTGGTCGAGACGATGTTTTTTGGGCTTGTTTTGTGGGAGGCGGTGCCCAGCTGGCCACGCTTGGCCGAAGCGATGGACAGCACACTGCGGCCTTGTGAGCGTCCCCGTGCCTTGGATGGTCGTGCCTGCGGGCGTCGCCGTTTTGGGCGTCCTCGCTTCGGGGTGAAAAGAGGCACCCATTGGCTGAAAAAGGTCGGACGAAACAGGTGAAGCTTTTCGACGGCGGGGTGAATAGCCACCGTGGCTGGTTGGGGAGGATTCGCCTTGGTCTTTTGGCCCCAGTTGAGGAGCTCCTTGAGTCTCGAAGTCAGCGAACGAGTGTAACGATTGTAAGCATGGTGGCGTTTCTAGCACGCACCGCCATCTTGATCATGCAGCAGCTCAGATGTCGTCATTTATGTCGTTTTGATTTGGGATGTGTCAGTGTCAGTGTCTACCGCGTCCACTGCTCTGGAAATAAGTCAGTCCAGGAGCACTGGAAGTGGGGAGTTGATGCATGAACATGAACGCCACACATCATCAGTATGGCTTTCTTCAGCACTGTCTTGTAGGTTGGAAGTACTGTCTGGTAGCTCAAATCATTAAAGCTCCTTGGAATCTATTTGGGGCAATCCCCCAGACACTCCATGGGACTGCCATAGATGCCGAGAAACGGCCAGGGGTGGTGCCAGGGGGGTCTGTCTGGGGCGGCAGTCCGGACTGGCAGTCCCATGGAGTGTTTGGGATCTTCTGGGAAGACCCGACCGGCGACCGGTCGATCGTCGGGAGAAGGCGTATGCATGTGCTGCAGCACGAAATCCGCCAAGAAGCTCCAAACGAGCCGGGAGAAATGCTATTTGGAGACCGAGGCAGGGATAACAAGGGCGGCAATTTAGGGGTCGGGCTGAGATCGTCCACAGCACCTGCAAACCATCCGGATTTGGTGTTTTGCTGGGACGAAACTGCGTCGAACGAACTGAGACTGCTGCTTTAACAAGCCAGGCTTGCTGGAAAGAGAACCCCAAACCATCCAGGCAAACCACGAAACCACGGATGTCGCTGGGAGTCACCAGTGGTTCGACTCAAACCATCGACCGATTCAACTCGCGTCCCGGGCCTGCTTCGGGCCTGGTTCCTTTCGTACTCGTGGGCGATCCACACCGGGAACATGAAAGGGACCGGGGTTTAGTCTGCCTGGAACGGCCCCATGATGACGTGGAGTTCACCACCTGTGTGGATTTCATGGATTTCATGGTCTTCCGAACTCGGGGCCAGGCCATCCACGTAACCATGTTACTTCCAGGGAGTGTAACCTTTTTCAGCCTTGCTAGGTCTGTTCCACTTCTAGAACTCCCTGTACTGCACGCCCTGGAACACGTCTGAACCCACGTCTGGAACCTGAAAACGACCCAGGGTTGTAGAGGAACATCGTCGACATAGGCAGGTCCTCAGGTTCCATGGGAATCTTCCCAGGTGTACAAAGAAAAGATCTGCAAAGGGTTGTACTCGTACAAGTTCCCAGTTTCCATTCAGAAAAAAAACACAAGTCCCGATGTAGCCTATGTCCAGGATTTTGTGTCATCTACTAAGTACTACTGATTCGGGTAGGCGCCAAGTTTTCAGAAAACCGTCATAAGAACTGGCCACAGAATGTGGGAGAAAACAGCTCCTCTCCTTGCCGGTCTTTGGGTCCAACCGGGCGCCACCATCCGGTGCTGCCGCACCGAACCCTCGCGCCGGAAGAGCGTTCCGAGGACCTGTTGAGGGCCATCGATCTGCCGTTGCTCTACATCAACGGCACGGTGCCTGGGCCGTGGACACGTGGTGTCGACGAGCCCACAGGGGAGGGATGGGGGAGCAGGGAATGGGGGTGGAGGGACGAATCAGCAGCATGTGCTTTTACCTAGACCTAGCAGCATGTAGCGTCGACTAAATCATTCTAAATCTAACAATGGAAAATCATCGAAGAATCATGAAGCATCGTTTCTGGTGGGTGGGTTTACAAGCTTTCTGTCGTTTAGATGTCTCGGAGATCTTACAGGGCCGGGCCCTACCCGTCCCCGACCCTCTTTCAGGGGTGAAGCCAGCAGCCCAGACCCACAGTCAATTGATATAACCTTTAACCTTTTTGAGGGGATTGGGGACACCCCACAGAGTGGTAGAACAGGTGGACAGTTCGGTTCACCTTTTTTTCCCCAGGAACTGACTGAGGGAGTCGCTCGCTCCAGTGGCAAAGCTCCGAGGGAGTCGCTCCCAACCAACGAATTTTCATCGAGTCTGGTTCGTCTGGTGTTGGGGAATCTCCTGGGTCGTCAGCTGGTCGACCGATACAAGGTCCAAGGGTCCTGTTCTGGATGTCCCCCACAGTCCTTGACCGATGGCTGGGAGTTGACCGTCAAGAGGATTAACTGATGTTCAACACGAGTTGGGGATCTGGTTGCATCATGCATCATGCTGTATGAACCATTGAGCCGATTTGAGCCATTCCAACATGCAACCATGCTGAGGCTGATGTGGTATGTCCACACACGCAAGCGGTGCCCTGCTTCGAGGCCCACAGTTAGAGTTTGTTCATGACATGCGGCCACGCCTCAAACTCTAAGGCGCTGTTAGACACCTCTTCAGGGCTCCAGGGAAACCCTTCCCCGCTCAGACTGCAGTAATCACCTCACACTGATGACCTTCATTGACTGGCGCCAGATTGATCCCGATCATGGATCTTCTGTGGTGTCACATGCTTCAACAACGGAGTCAGTGGGCCACGACGATCCTCACGAATTCGATCTTCGATGTTGGGAATTGCTGCGCTTCACCTATTGGGAATCGGCGGTTTCCAGGGCTCAACAAGGGTGCCACTGTGCCACCAAGTGCCATTACAGTATTGGCTTTGTTTTTGCTCCCAGCATTTCAGGCATCTACCTCTCCTGAGAAGCGTCTGCTGCTGTTGCAAGGGAAGGGCCACAACGAGGCCCGGTGGTTCAATCGTGGACGCTCAAAGCAGGGGTCCTCCCCTGGAGTCCCTGGACCAGCAAACAGGGGGGAACGTTTCTATCATTCCGACATAATGTAGACTCTTGATTAATAAGCCCCCCATACGAAGAGGTTTTTCCGACTCAATTGGAGGGTTTTCCCTGACCAGCCCTCATTGTCACGAGCGGGTGCAGAGAGGTGTTCTATTTTTGAGGCGTTTCTTTGTTGAGTTGAGATGCGCGTCAATTTATATACTTCGCACGTGACTACTTCGACTACTTTGTTTTTGTTTCTGTCGCGCGTGACAGCTTCAGTACTTCAAGCGTCTGACCTGACAAACAAATCTGTGGAGGCCAGCCAATAACCGGTTGACAGAGTGCCAAGCCACAGGTTTTATCAACCACTCGATGTTTATCTCATATTTCTTTCTCAGACCTGACCAGCTGACCAGCGCAGAAAACTTATTGCAGCCAAGCATTGGAATGACATTTTGGCACATTTCGATGGGTTGCCTTCCTTGGACAAGACTGGAAGTAGAACACAAGCCGTCGAGAAGGGGAGAGACAGGGACGTAGGGAGAGCTGAGGGATGGCTTGATCCAAAAGACTTGGTGAACTATTTCAGTGCTAGGGTCCCGCCAGTCAGCTGCATTGGAACTTCCCAGCCTTTGTTTGCCGGATCTCAGCAATCTGTAGTATTGCGGCAATTGCTCGGGTGCCTTTCAGTGGTTTCCCAAAAAAGCTTTGGGGTGCATTGCGCAGGTCCCCTTCTGATCCGGCACCCTGGCCATCCCCCAGGGGACTCTACGTTCGGCCATCCCCCAGGACCGCATGTTAAACCCCCAAGGCGTGGTGACAAAACTGTGAACACCGAGCTCGCTGGACATGGCTCGACATCCGGCTTCTCGCCTGGGTGTTGCACTTGACCGGTGTTGGCACCAGGGTTTGAGCAGCACTTGTCCCCCTGGCCAAGGGCCAAAGCTTTCGTTTATGAAATAGGACAGATCAGCCAGAATCGACCTAGGTGTTACGAAGCTTGAGCTGGGTGGATGTTGTTTGCCAGGAGAGTCTTTCCAGACACCTCTTTGGAACCTTAGAACAGCCGCCACCAGCAAGTTGAAAGGTATGGAGAGTCGCGGATGTCCCATCTGGTTCCTCCTGAGACCTGAAAAGCGGCAAACCATGGCCAGTCGGTCGGCAGGTCACAGATGCCGCGGAATATTGGCAAGCCTTGCAGGACAGATGGAGATTCCTCCATCCACCGGAACGGAGACAGGGCGCAGATGAGAAGATGAGATAAGCACGAACCAGACTGGAAGTGCGTAGGGGGTGGCAATGAGTGGGACATGGTGTCACCAATGGTCAATGGTGTCGATGGACCCCTCCAACATGTTCCCAGAGACTTCTCCGACCGATCTGGGTCTGCAAACTATCCCATCGATTGACTGGAGCGTCAAAGAAGGCGAGGCCAGGTGGCTGGTGACGTCCCAAGATGCTGCGTAGTTCGGTGCCTCATGCCAGAAGTTAAGATTGGCAAACCAGTATATCAGATAAGCTTAAAAGTGTGATCCTGAACCCCAACAGCACATGGAATGCAACATGATGTTACATTTGCTCGCGCATTGTGCAACGACGCTGTGCCGCAAGTGTCGCTGCGCCGTTTCTGAAGGAAAGTCACGTGTCCGGCGGTGTCCGCGGGGTGGAGGAACTCATTGTCAGAGCGCATCCAGCAAATATGTCCTTTGATTTCTCTGACTAGGTCTCGTAGCTCGCTCTTTGACGGACTCTTTTGCCTGATCATCAGCTACTCTGGCGGGATCAGCGCGCTCACTGGTGGGAACCGGTGCCCGCATCTAAAATCAAAGATCCTCTTTCGGGGGGCACCGAAATGCTAGTTGGCTCTTGCATCGCGTCGCTACATCGACGATTCTAAAGCTGCGTCAGCCACCTTTGCCAGGAGTTCCTTGCTCAAGTACGACAGCCAGAGCAGAGCGAGAGAAAAGAAATGGGGGGGTGGCCTGTTTCGATGATCAGCCCAGAATGTAGATGGGTTTGATGTGTGGTCGGCCGTCCCAAACAAATCCACTGGATTCTTGGCTGTTGGCATGATCCTCCTGGTTCGGGCACTGCATGGGAAGCAATCCACCTAAGTACGCGCAATGGCTACGCCGTGCGGGTGTTGGCGTCCATCGTGCCGAATCGTGCCTTTCGACCTTTTCCAGCACCTGGACTGCGATGCAGGTCTCTTGCAGCACTTGGAGGAATGCGGCCGACCCGATTTTTTTTTGGGAATAACATCGAACCCAAACTTGATTCAACTGGTGACTCTGACCTGAAGGAGCTGGTGATGCTGCGTTCCTTAAAGTCTGAGGCGTTCCCAGTGCTTGCTTGCTTCGACAAACATTTATATATGTGTCAACCCTGAGCCTGAGCTGAAATTGATGTGGAATATGACCCACATCAGCTTTGGCAGGGTGAGCGGTACCAGACTGATTAGTGGAGGCTCACACACTGGCTACCTGCCCCTCGCGCAGGTGGATGGTCAGTTGAGAGCATGTACTTGCTCCTTTGCCGCTCGTCGCTGAGGATCCTGGGAGAATCCATCGGGGAGTCTTCAGCAGACTGAGCAACTGTCACGGTTTATGCGTCTCATGCTTTGGACTTGGTGCATGGTCTGTCTTATGTGACTGTGGTAATAGGGCAAATAGGGTTGATGGACCCGATCATGCACCACCGAGAAGCTGATAGTATCGTCATTCAATTGTAGGATGGTATCCATCCCAACCACCTGTTTGTAGATGTAGTGGTCCAGCAAAAGTGATGTTGATGATACAGTGATACTCGTATATCACAAGCCGGATCTACACCAGCAGGCCATCATTTCGTCATAGAGTCGTATATATAAATATATATATATATATATAACATATTAATATTTCTATCTCTCCCAAACTTCTCCCTTGTGGAACCAACTCATCACCAAACAACCGCGACATGTCCGAAAGTCACCAGCCTAGCTCAGCAAGACGTGGTGCTATGAAGTATGTAGTGCGGCTCTTCAGAGGAAGTGACCAGTCGCCAGCCGGCATCCCTCCAAACATCGCCAGCGGGCATCCCGCCCACTGAACAGCCGACTGACACCGGAGCCAGACTCGTCGACTCGGTCTCCCAGGATCGGAAGCTGCGACATTACAACATCGTCATCAGCAAGGAGATCGGTGGACTTTGGGGAAGGTGCAGGAGGTGGTGACTAATTGACTTATGAGTAGGGGAGGAGTTTGATGAGTTGTGCAGGTCCGTGAGACAGTCTCCCTAAATCACTCTACCCATTGCTGAAGACGAATCTCCCTACTCAAAACCACGGAATCTGATACCCTGATCAAAGGACCATGAGCCCAGGTGGTGAAATTCAGGAGCTTTCGGACAAGAAAGGAAACAGGTGGGTCGATGCTTGAACTTGGCCCCCTCCGTGACTTCGCGACAACATGGTACAACAATGTACAACAATATCCTTGGAGGAGAATTCCAGATGAGGGCCATTTGTTCGTGTTCCATTCACTTTCAGACCCAATCTTTGCAAGGATCAAACGAGCAAAACGCAAAAGCCACGGACGAAGAAAACCTCCGATCGTCCGCTCGCCGCAAGCCGCTCCGGGCAAATCCCTGAAGAGGAGACACGTTCCATCCCCTTGAACAAGTTTCGAGAAGTGTTCCAGGCGGGTTCCTTCGAAAGCTGCCCACTTGGACTGAGACTCCGACTGGGTTGCTCAGGTTGAAAGATGTGGAAAGCAACATCCAGCAGATGTCCGAGAGGGAAAATCAACTGAGCCCCCCCAAAATCAGCTCGATTGCTCCACTATGGGACGTATTTTCATGGAAATGCAACATTATACTCAGCTTAACAGAGGAATTCTTCCGTTTTTTGACCGGGGTGGGTTAAGGGTTAACCCACCCCGGTCCAAAAACGGAAGAATCCCTCTCCTCCACTAGATCAGTATAGATGATATGGACTCAGCTTAACTCACCCCGGTCAAAAACGGAAGAATTCACATCCTTCCAAGATCTGGAAAGTCCAAGATTGCACTTGAAGATCTGACTGGTACAGATAGTGACCTGGGACTGGAAGGAGGCAAGGTGTTCTATTTCTCATTTCCACTTTCTACTGTGAATGGCAAAGAGTTATTGGCCAATCAAATGCTTGGTATGTTAAAACAACATAGACTAGTGACATCTAGTGACTAAGGAATAGACAGGTTCTAGTGACTTGGGCTTTGGTTATAGGAGCTCAGCCCCCGCAACGTCCCACCGGTAGCGAGGGTGGGTAGCGTGGGTCCACCAGCAACAGAGGTATCCAGTGACCTGAACTAGGAGCCGTCACCAGGGGTACCGAACTAGGATAGTCTAGTTCGGGTTCTGAAAACCTCTGTTGGAAATGGGATTGGCGCCAAGTGAGAACAGGGCATTCTGAGTTCGGTGGACCGTCGAATGGTCTCGGAGAAAACATGACCGGAGAAGAGGTGACGGAGCCACAACAATGATGTATGACTGTGAAATGACTGTATGGCATGAGTGTTGTCCCACTCCAAAAGCATGGGTATATGGCTTTTCAATTGTTTTCATGAGAAGATGTTTTCATCCAACAGAAGTGTTCAAGAGAGGCGTACCTGTGACCCGCTTGAGCATCCTGACCGCGCGACTTCTCTGACCGCGCGACTTCTTCGAGCGGTCAGTGGCATGGCCTGACCGGCCCGCCCTTGGTTGATAGCTGGAATTTCCCACCCAAAGGACCTCCTTGCTGCGTTTTTTCAGATAGAACACCCCCAGATTCAGATGTTTCTCGGAGAGCCAGGGCACGGAGCCAGAGGACATCGCCACGCCATTGGACGAGCTGTGTGCCACCATGGTGACCACCTCCCCAGACCGCGGCGTGGGTCCGGCGGCCACCGCGGCGACGTGGGCGGCGTCCCAGAAGGATCGGACGGGGAAGGGGCGGGGCTTTGTTCCGCGTTTGAGCGTCTTCGCGGTAGAGTGGAGCGGATTTGGGTCATCGTTTGGGCTTGCAGCCAATCAGAAGCAATTGACAAACCTTGAAGAAGTGATTGTTTGGATAGTTTGTTGGTCTACAATTTTGGATGCACACTGGATGTACCTTTCCCATGCTCCGCTGCTGTTTGCCTTCGCCAAACTCTCCCAGCTGCGCGGTCTTGGTCTTGTTCCAGGCGTCCGACGGCCACCGCGACGTCGGGTGGGATGTTCCGGAACGGGTGTCGATCTTGGAAGAACCGGTTGGAAAGAACGGGCAACGACGCGACGCGGGGCGTGGGCCATGAGTCTTTTTCACTCATTGAAGATTCTGCAAACAGAATGGGACAGAATCCTCTGAAGTTCTGATGCGAACAGCAGAAGATTCTGGTTTGTTGGTTTTGACCCTCTATATCATTGAAAACGACTTCCGAACCTAAACTGCTTGCTGTAATTGTGAGAAATATATTTCTTGCAACTTCCTGTTGCCCCGGCTCAAGTCCGCCGCAGCAAGGTCCCTTGCTCCAAAGGAGCTAAGGGAAGAGCAAAGGAATCTGCAAAAACGCATGTCGCAACAGGCTGAAATGGAAAACACCTTTCGCAGGCCCGGTCAGGTATTCAACCAGTATATTCACTTCACCCATTGCTTTGAGCTAGATTCAGAAAGCTAGCTCTTAGATCAAAGCCCCCTGTAGGTCAAGATGACTATACTACTGACTAGTAACTTAGGACTTGTCGGACATACACGCCAATTCCAAAAGCCTATGTCATCAGGATTGATCCAACATTGGCATTTCCTCTTAAGGCCTATGTCATCAGGCCACAACCATGATATTCATAGAAATATGTATGAGGTATTCAAGGAAGCAGCGCCCGCAAAAACACATAGTCGCACCCTATGTCACCACTGTGTCACCAGGGTGCCAGGCAGTGGTATCTAGCATTATTTAGCTGTTTTTTTGCTTGTTTTGTCGAGGAGGTGTCCACAGGTCCTATGACACCAGGTTTCCCAACCCAGACATTTTTTTTGCTCGATATGTCAGGGCACATGACTTAGCCCTGGGGGTAGCCAGATTGGTATGTCACTTGCATCACGTTGGCCTAAGTCATTAGACAGTAGTATAGTCATTCAGAGGTTCACTGCCATGTAATTGAATGCTTCATTCGTGTCCATGGTGTTGCTGGATGTTTTAGACCTCTGCCCAAGCATAAATCCACACCTCTCTCCCTGTGTGCGCCTGGGTGCGCCTCAGCGAGCTTTGCGAAACGTGAGCCCCG